ACAGCCGCAGACATCCATTAATCATCGGAACATGGAATGTACGAAGTATGAATCTAGGAAAATTGGAAGTTGTCAAAAAGGAAATGGAACGCAGTGAACATAGGTATGCATATGTCTCTGTAACTCATTTTTAAAATCAATGGCAGTGAAGTAAAAAAAAAAAAAGGTTGGACTTTATAGTTATAAAAGATTGTAGAGGCAGCTATATTGTAAGACATACTTAGTTATATAACCTGGAAGGAGGCCTTGAAGGAAATAGGATTTCTCTTAAAGTTTGCTTTATTACAGACTGTTTTACTAATAGAGAATTTATTGTTGTTTTAAAAGTTATTTGGAGAGTGGTGCTCAAGTGACTTTTTTTTTTTTACCTTTTTCAAAAAGGAAAGAAAAATACCAGGTTAAAAATATTCTGATAGCATTATCCGGGATGGACATTTGTTTATTTAACAATGATGATTATCATTACTCAGAATGTTCTCAGTAGTCTCTAATGTAGAACAATAACATTTTTTATTCTCTCAACCTGAGACATGAATCTTGACCATTTGATTTGCAAGCTAAATGATTTATGAACTAAACAGACAAAAAATTGTCGAGCAGTTTCTAAAACTCCGTGGGCTGGTTACCTTTGAGCTGAGAGCCTCAGAAGGGACAGACAGGTTCTGGGAAAACATAAATCCCTAGACCTGGTGACTCTGGTCTCAACAAGTCTTCCCACTTGAACCCAAGTGCACTACCAGGTACTTCATTTTTTTGTGTGTGTGAGTACCAACATGTAGTTGTTGTTAGCTGTCATCAGGTTGACTCCTGACTCCTGGTGACCCCATATACAAAGGAACTAACTGCTGTGATCCATAGGTTTTTTTCTTGGCTGATTTTCAGAAGTAGATTACCAGGCCTGGCTTCCTGGTCTTAGTTTGGAAGCTCTGCTCACAACTGTTCAGCATCATAACAACATGCAAGCCTCCACTGACAGATTGGTGGTGGCTGTGCATGAGGTTCATTGGCTGGGAATGAAACCGGATCTCCTGCAAGGAAGGCAAGAATTCCACCACTGATTCACCAGTGCCCCCATGGGCAAGAGGAAAGCCCACAGACAAGGATAAAAGATATATATATATATATTTATATATAGTTATCATGGAAACAGTAACTTTCCCAATAGGTTCCATCCAGTACATTTGCACGTATATTGTATATTACTGACCAAACTAAGTCACATAGTTCACTCTTAAAACCATGAAACCACTGAAACAGTCTGGTATAAGCTAATTTGAAAAATCTTTGTAACACCCAGAAAAGTGATATTCATATACTATTTTACAAATTTTCACAAGCCAAACACATTTTTGTAACCACACTGAAAATCAAGCAACAAAAACCTGCACTCCAGAAGCCTCTGACATGCTCCCTTACCTTCACCCCCAATGGTAACTGCGATCCTGACTTCTAGTACCATCATAGGTTAATTTGGCCTGTTTTTGAACTTTATGTAAACAGGATCAGAAGTGGATACTCTTTTGTGTCTTGTGTCTTTTGCTTAGCCCTGTGAGATTCATCTATATTGGTGAGTTGTATATCATTCATTCTAGTATTCCACTGAACAGATTACAATTTATCTATCTGTTCTATTATTGATAAACATCAGTAGTACTTCCCAGTTATGGGCTATTTAGAATAGTGCTTGATGCACTTTCTAGTTTATGCCTTTTGTTGAACATATTTACACATTTCCATTATGTACATACTTAAGAGATAAATCGCTAGGTCAGAGGGTATACACGTGTTTAGCTTTAGTAGATACTCATCAGTTTTCCAAAGTGAATTGCACCACGTTCTTACCAATACTAGGAATTTCCCATAGTTTTAATTTTATCTGTTCTAGTAGATATGTGGTGGTATCTCATTGTGGCTTTAATTTTATTTTGTAAGTGAATGTTTTTACCTGGGTATATTGTTGCCTTGAGCTCTGGTAGCATAGTGGCTAAGACACTTGCCTGCTAACCAGACGGCTGGTGGTTCAAACCCACCAGCCACTCCTTGGAAGGAAGGTTGGGCAATCCTACTTCCGTAGTGATACTGCCTCGGAAACCCAAGGAGGGGTTGCTGTGAGTCAGGTTTGACTCGATGGCATGTAACAACAACAACAACATTGTTGCCTTGACCAAAACTGGGACCTGGTGGAAAAGAAGAAGGGAAGAATGGATATTGAACGATAGCTTATATTTATTGAATGTTTCTCTTGAGCCAGGCATGGTTTTAAGTACTTCATGTGTACATATTAATGTATTACTCCTTAAACTACTTTATGAGATAAGTGCTGTTGTTATCTTCACTTTACATATGATTAGACAGCGGCACAGAGTGGTTAGGTAACTTGCCCACAGTCATATAAGTAGTCAGTGGTAGAGCTAAGACTTGAGTCCAAGCCCAAGAAGTACATTGTATAAATAGCAGTTAAGTTCATATAAAACATAAACCTAAGCTTGTGTATGATATTCTTTAATTCTCACTCAAAACCAAATTCATTGCCATCGAGTTGATTCCTACTCATAGTGACCCCTCCCCCCATTGGGTTTCCAATGTAATAAATCTTTGTAGAAGCAGATTGCCCCATCTTTCTTCTGTGAAGCAGTTCGTGGTTGCGAACCACCAAACTTTTGGTTAGTGGCCAGCTGCCTTAACCACTACACCAGCAACATAAACAAACGCAACGTACTGCTGTGGAGTCAGACCCAACTCATAGCGACCCCTCCTTGGATTTCCGAGTCGGTATCACTATGGAAGTAGATTGCCCAACTTTCCTTCCGAGGAGTGGATGGTGGGTTTGAACCACCAGCTGTCTGGTTAGCAGTCAGATACCTTAGGCATTATGCTGCCAGAGCTTCTCCTATACCACCAGAGCTCCTATTCTTTAATTAGTAAATTTGTGTTTTAAGTCAGTATCTTTTTCAGTCCTCTTTCTGGAATAATAATAATACCTAATGTTTATAGGATGTTTGCTACATTGTATGCACTTTACATATATCAACTCTTTCATTCCTTTTGGCAACTTTACGAGGCGGATATTATTATTGCTATTGTTATCATTATTTTTATCATCCTCGTTTTACAGAGGGGGACACAGGACTAGTGAGGATAAATAACTTGGTCAGTGTCATTCATGCTGAATCACTATACATGGCTTCCAAACATAGCAGCCATGACAGTTAAGTTTATCAGCTTCTGTGAATATGTCTTTGACGTTGTTCACTAGCTTCTTGCTGACCCTAAAATAATACAGCTATTTCTAGTGTTGATCGAACTTGCTTCACTTTTTTGTCCTAGGGCAGTTTGCAAGAAGATTGTCTGCTATGAACTGAAAAGTACTTTTCTCATGGGTCAGAAGTGATTGGTACTGGAGTATTAGGAAAGTGGTTCTTAAAGTTTTTGAACATGAGGGTCTTTTCTCTCTCTTAACCTCCACCCCCCCCAATTTATGAAGGGAAAATGAGCATATTCTGAAAAAATCAGAAAATACAGAAAAGTATAAAAATGAAAACCAAAATCACCTGAAATTCTAGCACTCAGACATTGTTAACTTTTTGTATTTGTCCTTCACAATCTAGATCTAAGGGTTTTTGTGTAAACATATATAAAAAGTGAAAAGTATGTGTAATTACTTTAAATCAAAATAGGTGTACGGTATACATACTGTTTCATAATCTTTTTTTTTTTTTTTTTAATTTGATGGTATGTCTTGAATCTCCTTCCATACACTATAATTTGTATAGTGTATCTTCTAGTGAACATTTGGATTGTTTCCAGTTTTCACTATTATGAACAAGTGGTAATAAAGCTCTGTGCATATGAGGTGGGGTCGGGTGTATTATCCCCCTTTACTTACTCCCACCTTGCCTAATACTATTACTAAATCTCTAAAAGCCATGAGTAAAAGTTCTTGCTTTGATTTTTAAAATTTCATAATAAAGAGCATCTTTTTGTTTTCCTGTAATTTTTACCTGCACATGACTTCATTCTCCTCTGAGCATTTCATGCCTGGCATCTTTGAGACCTCACAGGCGATTGCCATAATGAGAATGAGTTTCTGGGAAATGCCTATTAAATACTGACTGCTGTGACCTGAACAAAATAATGCTATTTAGAAAAATTTGAATTATGTTGTATTGTATTTTATTGTTATTCAAATGATTATATATCATTATTCAGATTAATGAACAGAAAGCTCTTGCTTATTACTATTTCAAAAATCAAGCTTAATGATCTTTGCAAGAGATTTAGCTTAGACCTTTCTTCTGTTCTTCATGATTTGTTAATGCTTATTTTCATTTCTTGTAGACACAATGGCAGAAACAGCAGAGTGGGGTGTCGCTAATCAACTAGTCTCTCCAGATAAATTTGAATTCATTTGAATTCAGTCACACAAGTCACATTTTACAGTATACAGCCACATTTTAAAAGCCCTGGTGGCGTAGTGCCTAAAACATTTGACTGCTAACCAGAAGGCTGGCAATTCAAACCCACCAGCACTCCTCGGAAGGAAGGTTGGGTGATCTACTTCTGTAGTGATATGCCTCAGAAACCCGAGGAGGGGTCACTGTGAGTTGAGATCAACTCGATGGCAGTGAGTTTAGTTTGGTGGTTTTTAGCCACATTTTAGGCACAAGTAATACAGATGTTCAGGAGCTCTGGTGGTACAGTGGTTAAAGCATTTGGCTGCTAACTAAAAGGTTGATAGTTTGAACCCTCTAGCCATTCTGTGGGAGAAAGGTGAGCCAGTCTGTCTGTGAAGATTTGCAGGCTTGGAAACCCTGTGGTTCTACCCTGTCCAATAGGGTCACTATGAGTCGAAATTAACTCAGTGGTAGTGGGTTTGGTTTTGGAATACAGATGGTCACTGCTCTTGGGATCTTACAGTTCAGTGGATGAATCCTCACAGCTCACCTGTGAGATTGACTGGGAAAGTATAGCTTGCTTCTATTTCATACATGTGCAAACTGAAGGAAAATGACTTGGTGAAGGTTAGTTGGTTAGTGCACTGCTAGGTGGCAAACCTAGAACTTCACCCCAGTTCTCTGACTCTAGGCTTAAAACTTTTTCAATGTTTTGTTTTTCAGAAAATGATGTATTATATAAAATACCAGGAATGTAAATCGAATGTTTTAAAATTTTAGTAGATTTTAGCTGGTGATAGAAAATAATAGAAGTCAAAATGTTTGTATTTTTAACCCTTGTGTTCTGTCGGGTTTCGGTTGCAGTCAGGTGACACGCAGTCTTTTGCACAGAAGCTCCAGCTCCGGGTACCTTCTGTGGAGTCTTTGTTTCGAAGTCCAATAAAGGAATCCCTGTTTCGATCTTCCTCTAAAGAGTCCTTGGTACGAACATCTTCCAGAGAATCTCTCAATCGACTTGACCTGGACTGTTCTGCCACCTTTGATCCACCCTCTGATATGGAGAGTGAGACTGAAGACTCACTAGGGAATTCAGACAGTCTCAGCAAAGAACAGTTAATTCAGCGGTTGCGAAGAATGGAGCGAAGTTTAAGTAGCTACAGAGGAAAATATTCTGAGGTAAGCAAGACTCTTTTGCCTGTAGGAAAATGCCTTCCCTTTGTTCTCTAATTCATAATATACCCACTTGTCACTTATTGACATGGCTAGATTGCAAAGACCAGATTGTAATGTAAAAATCGGCGTTATGTAAAAATGGAGGATGATCACATGAGATCTCAAAATGGAGGATGCCTTCCTCATTACATAACTGCCAGATTACATCATTACATAATTGTTAAATTATATCATTATATAACCTGCTGAAAATCATGGCTCAGCCATCTTGACACATAATCTTAACCATCACAGCCAGTGTTACTCTCGCCTTGCACACTGGTATTCATTACTACCAGACATATACCATTAATGTACAAAATAATCAGATAGTAGATTTTTTACTTTTGTAAATGTGAAATGTTGGGTAATGAGATAGTCAATAAGTAAGTGTATCCTATTGCTTTTATACTTATGGTTGGTTACACTGTTGATTCCTCAGATATCCTGCTTACCAATGGTACATAGCCTGTGGCAGTATCTAATGAAAAACTTTTTTTGGTATAGAGGCCCTTTTGAAAGACTCTTGGTAACATTTTGGAGAAGGTAGTTGTCTGTAGCCTGTTGGTTCTTATATTATGACCCTATTCTTTCCTGGCCCCCATCTCCAGAGTTTCCTGGACAGTCAGTGTGGAGTTTATCCTCATTCCTACTCTTATCCCATCCTTTGTTCATCTCCTAAGTGCTGTGACTCCAAAATGACCTCTCTTGCCAACCAGACTCCCATTATTTCTGAACCCAGTTAGGCTTTATCCGACAAATTTTGTTCACTCATGTACCTATGTTTAAACTTTTGCCTCATTGAATCTTTTAACTGCTAACCTCCTTGAGGTCGACAATCCCTGTTTGGTCTAAAGGAAGAAGGGAACTCGTGCTGTGCCATCTTTATTTTCCATCCTTCAGTAGCACAGCAGCCTTCCATTCAGGCTGAATTGTGTTGCCCTCCCTGAGCCCCCTTCCCCAGCTTGTGTAGTTAAAACAGTTCTTACTCAGAAAAGCCTTTCTGGAAATGGTTGCCAATGTTCTTTTGTTTGTTTGATTTTTAAAACAATGTCTAATGTGTTAATGTGTCTTACGGTTTGTAAATCAGCGCCATAGTTAATTAATTAATGAATACTAAAGTTCAGAATTAGGAGCTCTGATAGCATAGTGGCTAAAGCACTTGACTGCTAACCAGAAGGTTGGCGGTTCAAACCCACCAGCCACTCCTCGGAAGGAAGGTTGGGCAATCCTACTTCCGTAGTGATACTGCCTTGGAAACCCAAGGAGGGGTCTCTATGAGTCAGGGCTGACTCGACGGCACATAACAACAACAACAACAAAGTTCAGAGTTATTTATAAAGTTAGTCATAACTTATATTTTCGGTTATGGTTAGAATATGGCTAGTTTTATCCCACAGCTAAAAACAACAACAGCAAAAAACCTAGATAAAAATATAAAATATCTTTTTAAAACTTTATAATTCTTAAAAGATAAAGAGGAATTACTAGGCTAAAATCTACAGACAGTCAGGTACTGAAAGATATAAATGAAGCATTAAAACCATGTATCTCATGAGGCACTTGCAGAATCTTACAACGTTTTCCTTTAACATTCTGTCTGTCGATTTATTTATTTATATTTTCATTAAAGTTAATATTGATCCTCTTGTTTAAATTTATATTATTTTCACTACCATAGCTTTTAAGTTTGAAGCAGGACAGTAGTCTAATACTTAGAACATAAATATGCTAGACACTATGCATTTTATACTTACAAAGCCATATACTTAAAAAGCACCAACCCTGTGAATTGGATGCTAATTAGCTCCATTTTGTAGATGAGGGAATAGAGACTTATGGAGATTAAGTCATTTGCATAAGATTACACAGGTAGTAGTTGGTAGAATCAAGATTTGATTCTAGGACTTTTTGGTATTCTGTGCACCTCAGAAGACTCAAGCAGTTCAATTAGGGATGAAAAGAGCCACAGTTTGTCAAAAGGCACTTGCAGAATCTTTGCCATGACCTTTGTCTTCACTTTTCCTTGCCACTCTAGGTATCTAGGATAGAATAGTGCTATACGTGACATCTGATTCTTGGGTTACTCTCCCCATTCCCACTTTCCCTCTTTTTTCAGCACCATATTCCTGTCTGGCCTTAAGGTAAAAAGGAGAAGGCCTTGGTCTTAGAATTTTGTTTTTAGTGTTCCTACCTCTTTTGCTGAATTTATCTTCTATTGCTCTCTGCCTCTTGACTGAAGGCCTCAGTAGAGGTCTTTGGGTCCAGACAGCAGCTAGCCAAGAAAAATGAAAAGGCTTCCTTTTTAAAAGGAGCCCTGGTGGTACAGTGGTCTCAGCAACTAACCAAAAGGTTGGCAGTTCAAACCCACCGGCCACTCCATGGGAGAAAGATGTGCCAGTCTGCTTTGTAAAGGTTCCAGCATTGGAAACCCTATGGGACAGTTACACTCTGTTCTAGAGGGTCACTATGAGTCAGAATCTACTGGATGGTTCCCTTTTCAAAGCTATATCCTATCTCTTTAGAGACCTCTGGTGTTTCTAAAGTAGAATCTAAATAATTAATTGAAACTATATGCTTAGCCTTCAGATGAGTAATGCTATACATAATTTAAAGCTTTAACAGGATTTGTTAGTCCATGATTTCATCAAGTTGTGATGTTGTTAAGTTTGTTAGGTGCCATCTAGTTGGTTCTGACTCATTGTGACCTCATACACAATAGAATGAAATAGTGCCAGGTCCTGTGCCATCCTCACAATTGTTGCTATGCTTGAGCCCATTGTTACTGCCACTGTGTCACTCCATCTCATTGTGGGTCTGTTTTTTGCTAACCCTCTACTTCACCAAGCATGATAACCTTCTCCAGGGACTGGTCCCTCCTGACAACATGACCATCCTCAATTCTAAGGTGCTAGATAGTGCTAGAGTGTTTAAATATCTTGTTGTTGTTGTTGTTAGGTTCTGTCGAGTCGTCTCCGACTCATAGTGACCCTATGCACAGCAGCACGAAACACTATCTGGTCTTGTGCCAGCCTCACGATCCTTGCTATACCTGAACCCATTGTTGAGCCATTGTGTCTGTCCATCTTGTTGAGGGCCTTCCCCTTCTTCGTTGACCTTCCACTTTGCCAAGCACGATATCCTCCTCTGGGGAGTGATTCCTTATGAATCATGACCAACGTAGGTGAGACAAAGTCTGGCCATTCTCGCTTCCAAGGAGCTTTCTGGCTGGACTTCTTCCAGCACAGATTTGTTAGTCCTTTTAGCAGTCCTTGGTACTCTTAGCATTCTCCTCCACCACCACAGCTCAAAAGCATCAACTCTTCTTTGGTCTTACTTATTCACTGTCCAGCTCTCATATGCATATATGAGGCAATTGAAAATACCATGGATTGGGCTAGGTGCACCTTAGTCTTCAAGGAGACATCTTTGCCCTTCAGTACCTGAAAGAGGTCTTTTGCAGCAGATTTACCCAATGCAATATGTTGTCCAATGTCTTTACTGCTGCTTCCATTGGTGTTGATTGTAGAACCAAGTAATATGAAGTCCTTGACAACTTCAGTCTTTTCTCCATCCTCCGTGAAGGTGTTTATTGGTCAGTTGGGAGGATTTTTGTTTTCTTTATATTGAGTTGTAATCCATACTGCAGACTATAGTCTTTAATCTTCATCAGTAAGTGTTTCAAGTCATCTTCACTTTCAGTGAGCAAAATTGTGTCATCTGTTTATCACAGGTTGTTAATGTGTCTTCCTCCAATCCTGATGCCATATTCTTCTTCATATAATCCAGCTTCTCGGATTATTTGCTCAGCATACAAGTTGAATAAGTAGGGGGAAATGATACAACCTTGCTGCACTCCCTTCTTGATTTTGAACCATGCAGTATCCCCTTGTTCTGTTTGAATGACAGCCTTCTGATCTATGTACAGGTTCCTCATGAATTTGCATTCTTTTCAATGTTACCTGTAATTTGCTATGATCCACACAATCGAATGTTTTTGCATAGTCAATAAAACATAAGTAAGCATCTTTCTGGTATTCTTTGCTTTCAGCTAAGATTCATCTGATATCAGCAATGATATCCCTGGGTCCACATCCTCATCTGAATTCAGCTTGTATTTCTGGAAGCTCTAAGCTCCCTGTCAGTATACTGCTGCAACCGTTTTTGAATTATCTTCGGTAAGATTTTAGTTGCGTGTGATATTAATGATACTGTTCCATAATTTCCACATTCTGTGAGATCACCTTTCTTTGGAATGGGTACAAATATGGATCTTTTCCAGTCAGTTGGCCAAGTAGCTGTCTTCCAAATCTTTTGGCATAGCCAAGTGAGTGCCTGAAGTGGGACATCTGTTTGTTGAAACATCTCAGTGGGTATTCCATCAATTCCCGGAGCCTTGTTTTTTTTGCCACTTCCTTCAAGGCAGCTTCAACTTCTTCCTTCAGTACCATTGGTTCTTGATCATATGCCACCTCCTGAAATGGATGAACATCAATCAATTCTTTTTTGTACAGTGACTCTGTGTATTCCTTCCATCTTCTTTTGATGCCTTCTACATCATTCAATATTTTGCTCATAGAATCATTTAGTATTGCAACTCGAGGCTTAAATTTTCTCCTCCTTTTTTTCAGCTTGAGAAATGCAAAGGCTGTTCTTCCTTTTTAGTTTTCTAACTCCAGGTGTTTGCACCTTTCATTATAGTATTTGGCTTCGTCTGCTGGAGCTGCTCTTTGAAATCTTCTGTTCAGCTTTTTTATCTTGTCATTTCTTCCATTTGCTTCTATTCACTTTAACTACCCTCTGCTAAGGGCAAGTTGCAGGGTGTCTTCTGACATCCATTTTAGTCTTTTCTTCCTTCTTTTTAATGACCTCTTGCTTTCTTCATGGATGATGTTCTTGATGTCATCCCATAATTCCTCTGGTTTTTGGTTGTTGATGTTCAGTGCATCAAATCTATTCTTTAAATGGTCTCTGAATTCAGGAGAGATATTATCAGGGTCATATTTTGACTCTTGTAGACTTGTTTTAATTGTCTTCAACTCCAAGTTGAACTTGCATATGAGCAGTTGATGGTCTGTTCCGCAGTCATCTCCTGGCCTTGTTTTGGGTGAAGATATTGAGCATTTCCATTGCCTCTTGCCATAGATGTAGTCAGTCTGATTCCTGTGTGCTCCATCTGGCAGTCCGTGTGTATAGCCATCATTTGTGTTGTTGAAAAAAGATATTTGCAATGAACAAGTCATTGGTCATGTAAAATTCTATCATGCAATCTCCAGTGTTACTTCTGTCACCAAGGCCCCATTCTCCAACTACTGGTGATTCTTTGTTTCCAACTTCTGCATTTCAGTCACCAGTGATAATTAATACATTGTTATTCCAGGTTCAGTCAGTTTCAGACTGCAGAATTTGATAAAAATCTTAAATTTCTTCATCTTTGACTTTGGTGATTGGTGCATAAATTTGAATAACAGTAGTATTAACTGGTCTTACTTGTCGGCGTATGGATGTTATCCCATGACTGACATTGTACTTCACACAGATCTTGAAACATCCTTTGTGATGATGAATGCCATGCCATTCTTCTGGAAATTGTCATTCTCAGCATAGTAAATCATATGGTTGTCTTGATTCAAAATGGCCAAAACTGGTCCATTTCAGCACACTAATGCCTAGGGTATCAATCTTTATACATTCCATTTCATTTTTGACAACTTCCAAATTTCCTAGACTCATACTTCATACATTCCATGTTCCGGTTATTAATGGATGTTTGCATCTGTTTCTGCTCATTTTAAGTCATGCCTCATAAGCCAATGGAGGTCCTGAAAGCTTTACTCTATCCATATTGTTAAGGTTATCTGTACACCGAGGAGTTAGGTTTTTCCCAGTTGTATTTTGAGTGCCTTTGCCCTGATGGGCTCATCTTCCGATGCTATATTGGACAGTGTTTCAAGGCTATTCATGAAGTTTTCCAGTATAATATATCAGACAGTGTTTCATTGCTATTCATAAGGTTTTTACTGGCCAATTGTTTGAGAAGTGGAAGGCCTCTTCCTTCTTCTGAGTCTGTCTTAGTCTGGAAGCTCTGCTGAAACCTGTCCACCATGGGTAATGTTGCTGGCATTTTGCAACACGATGGCATAGCCTCCAGCATCACAGCAACACATAAGCCACCACAGGATGACACACTGGCAGACAAGTTCATCTCCCTTAGTTGTTCCTAGCCCTTCTGCATGTGCCTACCTCAGGCAATGGTCTTAAAATAGAGCCTCCTGCAAGTGAAAAGCAGCCCCTGAGCCCTGGCCTGCCTACCTCAGACCCTTGCCTTAAAATAGAGCCACCCCCAAGTGAAAAGCAGCCCTCAAGCTGCTTTTTAATGGTTAAATGTCTTTGTAGATTCTGAATGACCAGTTTTCATCTCTTGGTTATGAGTTTCCATCCTCAGATTTTTAGAAATCCTATTAGCAGAAGCGCTTTTAGAGTTTGATCACATGGTCTGTTATAACCCAAAGCAGAAAACCACCTGTAGAACTTATTAAGAGACAGATTCTTATCTCTCTCCTCCCTGCCCCCCAATTCTGATTTAGTAAGTTTGGAGTGGGGCCCTAGAATTTTTGTTTCCGAGGAGCTCTGGTAGTGTAGTGCCTAAGGCATTTGAGTGTTAACCGGAAGGCTGGCAGTTCAAACCCACCAGCCACTCCTCAGAAGGAAGATTGGGCAGTCTACTTCCATGGTGATTCTGCTACGGAAACCCAAGGAGGGGTCGCTGTGAGTCAGGACCAACTTGACGGCAGTGAGCTTTTTTTTTTTTTGTAAGCTTCCAGGTGATGGTGCTGCTGCTGGTCTGTGCCTACAGTTTGTGTAGCCTCCTGCCATTAGGCAGGTTGGCTCTTATCGCCACCTGTGAATTTAGCTTCTGAAATTTAAAGAGGAATGTGTCTAAGGTGAGGTCATATAAACAGAAATTGAACGTCTTTATGAAGTCAAGTTACATTCTATTTTACAGAAGTGCATTTTCTGTTATTTCTTTTCAGCTAAATACACATCATATACACATCTAATTTGATTGAATTGTCTGTGAAAGGACTCTTCTGATACACCTTTTTCTTTCATTAAGAGATGCTTTTGAAAGTTTAGAATAATTAACTGCATTTATTTAGAAATGACTTAAGTTAATATTGGTGATTTTTTCTTTATTTTAGCTTATTACAGCTTATCAGACTCTTCAGAGAGAGAAGAAAAAGCTACAAGTAAGTTTGTTGGCTGTGACATTGATTCTTACCTAATTTTAAAGTTGGAATCTTATAGTAAAATAGGTCTAACCTAACCTTTTAATAATTCTAAATATGATCAAAGTTTTTAGCCCCATTTCACTATAATTGGAGGTTTTGATAAAGAGACAGAGGGATCCTCAAGATTGCATCTCTGCTAGTGATGGGTTTTCTTGAGTTATGAATTCCTGTGGTGTCTAAGAGGTTTAGATTTAAGGCATGTTAACATCTTTCACATGTTTGCTAGGGTCAATCAGTAGGTTTGTTCCTTGTTTCTGTGGTAAAGGGATGGCCAACCTGGTATGCTTTTCCTTCTACTTTATAAATAAATATCTGCAGATATCTCTGTTTCTTGTCATTATATCAAGGTCCAAAGCCAAGCATCCTCTTTCTAAAATAACTATTTCCTAAGGTTGCTGCTTATAAAGCTCTTTGGCAAGTATGTGGGGAGAGGATGCCATTGTAGCTTTTCTGGGTGACCCATCTTGGCCCCACTACATGACCTGGTAGCCAGAAACTTCATACCAGGCCTCTTAGTGATAAGAGCTAGAGAAATACCCATTCTAGTTCAAACTGTGCCATTAGTTTGCTGTGTTACTTGTAAAATATAGTTTTATTTTTAAAAGTTACTTAAAACACTTCAGCATTTTAAAAAAGCTCATTATATGATCAAAAAATTATTTTTGTGAAATTTTACAAAATCAATTCATTTCCCATATACATTATTTCTTCTTAGTGTTAGTTGATTAATCTGTCATAAATATCAGTCTTTTTTAAAGTACAACATTATATTTCCTGGCTTTGATCTGGAATCTAATCCATTTACTGTAGTAACAACGATTATTTATTACTGATTCAGTGTTCTCATTTTCCCATAACAAATGTGAAACTTAGATTATTACAAATAGTTTTTCAAGTTGATAATATTTTCTTCCATATGAATGCTTTGGAGATGGAAGGGTGGTTCCAGTTTAATCTGTTGTCTTATTAATAATCTGTAAATTCATTCTCAAAGGGTCACATGTTCCTAAATTCTGTGGGTACTTTGTGTGTGTTTCCATGAGTTGTCTGTGGGTTTTTATGTCTAGATGTACTTGAGTATTGCTGCCACTAAGGGGCAATAGAGAATTATGATTTCATGGTTTCAGAATATAAAGGATGAGCTTCTTTAAAATGCTGAAGTGTCAGAATATAAAGGATGTTAGAAATAAAATCGAAAGATTTGTACCCATTTCTGTATATGTGTACATCCCTATGTGTGCATGAATATAAACTTTTTTAAATAGACAGGCATCTTTTTAAAAGACCTAATGAGATCAAAATTGTAAGTATTGCCAACACTATTTATCATTGTTGTTTGTACTGGCTAACATTTTTTGAGCTCTTATTATGTGCCAAGCATCTTGGTATATTTAGTCTTTACACTTCTCCTGTGAGGGAGCTAATACTGATATCCTCATTTTGTCTAGGTAAGGAAAGTAGGAAGAGTGACTTGTACAGTTTATGAGAGGGAGAGAGGGTGGGAGAAAAGTCAAGATTTACTTCCTGGCAGTTTGACTCCAGATCACATGCTTGTAACCACTGTACTTTAATTTTTCATAATTCTCTGCTTTGTATCTTTCTCATTTAAAAACCAAACAGCAAAAACCTGTGTTCATAGCTTTAGGAAAAAAAGCCTTTGTTTTTCATTTTATTATATGTTAATTATGTATAACTACTACCACAATCAGTATACAGAATAGTTGTATAACACTGTGGTTTAAATTTTAACAAATTTTCAGCATGGTCATATCTATAACCTATTCATTCCCATCCTCCACCCTCAAGTTATTTTTGGATAAACAGTTGTAATATTTTCAGACAGTATTTTTTATTTGACTTCCTTTGCATTACTATATCATGTAGTTGTGTGAACCAGCTTTTTCATTCTTCCTTTTTTTTTTTTTTTCTAAATTAAAGGGTATATTAAGTCAGAGTCAGGATAAAGCACTTCGGAGAATTGGAGAATTAAGAGAGGTAAGTTTATGTGAGTAATATTTGAGAGTAGTAATTAAATATCATATTTTCATAACTATTTTATGTGCCGGGATAGTTTCCTCTGCACTGCATTATAATAATAACTGGTTAACCTTGCTGTCTTAGTTCTCCAGTGCTGCTATAGCAGAAATAGCACAAGTGGATGGCTTTAACAAACAGAAACTCATTTTCTCACAGTTCGTTGTTATGTGCCGTTGATTCGGACCCGACTCATAGCGACCCTTTCTTGGGTTTCCGAGGCAGTATCACTACGGAAGTAGATTGCCCAACCTTCTCACAGTTTAGGAGGCTAGAAATCTGAATTTAGGGTCCCAGCTCTTGAGGAAGGCTTTCTTTCTCTGTGGGCTCTGGAAAATGTCCTTTTCTCTTCCACCTGTGCTTCCTGGTTCCTTGGAGATCTCCATGTGTCTTGGTATCTATCTTACCCCGTCTTTCTCCAGCTGACTTGTTTAATCTTCTTTGTATTTCAAGAGACTAACTCAAGACTCACCCTACACTAATCCTTCACCTACAAAAGTGGGATCAGTTTTTATAGTTTTATTTGCATTCTGTTATATGTAAGGTTGCTGTGAGCTTGAAGCCAACTCCGTGAGAACTAAGAACAACAACATTAGAAGTTAAGCATCAAGTTTTGTGGTTATTTATAATGATACCGTAGCTAGAGACACAGGAATACCTGATTTTTTTTTTCTCTTGCTACTTAATCCTTCTCCACTGGAGGTCCCTGAGGGTGCTGTGCTCAAGAAAATGCAACTGAATGGGAAATAAACTTCCACTTTATTAATAGATGGGTAAGCACCCTGGTGATACTCTTTAATGTTGGCTCTCTGTAAAAATAGGCTCCTCTAGACTTTTTGAACCAAATATGAATTATAGAACCAGTATTCTCAGGCATATCAATGGGGAAAGAAAAAGGGCTAACTTTGTTAGCAGACCCCAGCTTGATTCATCTACACAGTTGAAGGTGTTGAATGAGTTAGAAAAGTTAGAGAGGCTTGGCCAAAAGGCATGCTGTGCTGAGATCTGTGGCAAGAAGTAGACATTCTGACCCTTCAAAAAAAGTAAGACTCTGTCAATATCTTTGGTGCTGCCAATCAGATTTGCAACTCCTCCTCCCCTTTCTGGGAACTGTTGATGGAGGGAAAGTCAGTGTAGAATTAAGGGGTCTTTTTTACTGTGTAGTATAAATCAGGAAGCTATGGTAGCGTGGTGCCTAAGGCTGCTAACCAGAAGGCTGGTAGTTCAAACCCACCAGCCGCGCCTTGGAAGGAAGGTTGGTCAATCTACTTCTGTAGTGATACCTCCTCAGAAACCCAAGGAGGGGTCGCTATGAGTAAGGTCTGACTCAATGGCACATAACAACAACAACAGTATAAATCAGTAGTTTTATTCAGTAATTTTGTCACCCTGTCTGAGGAAATACCACAGCCACAGATTGACCAGTTCTAGTTCTTTTATTTATTTATTTATTTATTGTGATTTGGATGAAGATTTACAGAGTGAATTCACTTTCCATACAGCAGTTCACATATACTTTGTCTCATGTCATTGACCACAGTTTACAATGTAACAGCTCCCTTCCCATTTCCTCCCCATAGTTACCTCTTCCCAGTGACCATCCCTCCATACTCTCCTGAGCCCTGAGCTGTCTCCCTGTGCATAAGCAGCCCTTCCTTCTCCCATGATTGTTCTCTTCAGGGCATGTGTCTACTTGAGGTAAATGTTTAACTCACATGCCTGTACATTGTTTGGCTGGAAACCATAGGTGTGGGTTCAATTCCAGACCTGAAGGATCTAGTTCTTTTTATTATCTATGTACCTGCATATCGAAATGTTCTTTTTGACAATGAGTGTGATGCCATTTCTTTTCAATTTGTCATTCCTAGCATAGTGAACAGTATGATTCTCCAATTCAAAATAGCCAATACCAATCCATTTTAGTTCACTAATGTCTAGTATATTGTTCTTTATGCATTCCATTTTATTTTTGACAACTTCAAATTTTCCTAGATTCATATTTTGTACATTCCACATTCTGATTAATAGATGGTTGCAGCTGTTTCTTCTCATTATGAATTGTGCCCCCATCAGCAAATGAAGGGCCCAAAAGCTTTACTCTGTCCACACCATTAAGGTCAACTCTACTTTGAGGAGGCAGCTCTTCCCCCATCTTATTTTGAGTGCCTTCCAACTTGAGGGGCTCATTCTCCAGCACGTTTAACAGACAATGTTTCACTGCTATTCATAAGATTTCCAGTTGCCGATTGTTTCAGAAGTGGACCTGGCCACACATTTCTTCCAAGTTTGTCTTAGCCTAGAAACTCTGCTGATACCTCTCCATCATGGATGATCCTGCCAGTATTTGAAATACTGGTGGCGTAGCTTCCAGTGTCACAGCAACATGCAAGCCTTCCCAGTACAACCAGCTTATTGATGAATGGTGGAACATTGCATGATCTATCCTGAAATACAGTGCTGTCAGCAATAGGAGATAATATCCATATGCCTACAAGGAGGACTGATTAATATGACTGACATTATGTTCCAACTAGTAAAGCGAAAGATGAAGAAATTAAAGATTTTTACCAACTTTTGTAGTTTGAAGTTGACCAAACATGTAATCAAGATGTATTGATAATTAATGCTGATTGGAATGCTAAAGTTGGAAAAAAGAAAAAGCATCAGTAATTGGAAAATAGGGTCTTGGTGATGGAAATGAGTCTAGAGATTACATGTTAGAATTTTGCAAGACCAACAACTTATTCATTGCAAATACCTTTTTACAACAGCATAAATGGTGACTATACATGTCAGCCTTGCTGGATGGAATACACAGGAATCAAATCAACTATATCTGTGGCAAGAGGTGATGGAAAAGCTCAGTATCATCAGTCAGAACAAGGCCAGGGACTGACTGTGGAACAGAACATCAATTGCTCATATGCAAGTTTAAGTTGAAGTGGAAGAAAATTAAAACAAGTTCCTGAGAGCCAAAATACAACCCTATATCCCACCTAAATTTAGAGACTATCTGAAGAATAGATTTGACATATTGAACACTAATGATAAAAGATCAGATGAGTTGTGGGATGATATCAAGGATATCATACATGAAGAAAGCAAACAAATGGTCATTAAAAAGACAGGAAAAAAGAAAAGACCAAAATGGATATCAAAAAAGACCGTGAAACTTGCTTTTGATCATACAATAATGAAAGCAAATGGAAGAAATGTTGAAGTAAAAGAGCTGAATAGAAGATTTCAAAGGGAGCTTAGGAAGACAAAGTAAAGTATTTTAATGAAATGTACAAAGACCTGGAGTCAGTATTTCTTAAGCTGAAAGAACTGGAAAAAAATGCAAACCCTGAGTTATAGCATTGAAGGGTTCTGTAGACAAAATATTGAATGATGCAGGAAGCATCAAAAGAAGGTGGAACAAATACACAGTCACTGTACTAAAAAGAACTGGTCTGTGTATAATCATTTCAGGAGTAGCGTATGATCAAGAGTTGATCGCATTGAAGGAAGAAGTCCAAGCTACATTGAAGGACTTGGCAAAAAACAAGGCTCCAGGAATTGACAGAATACCCATTGAGGTATTTCAATAAATGGATGCAGTTCTTGAGGCATCCACTTGCTTATGCCAAGAAATTTGAAAGACAGCTATCTGGCTAGCTGACCGCAAGAGATCCATATTTGTGCCCATTCCAAAGAAAGGTGATCCAATAGAATGAAGAAATTATCAAACAATATCATTAATATCACACACAAGTAAAATAAAATGTTGAAGATAAATAAAAAATGATTGCAGCATTGTGTTGACAGAGAACTTCCAGTAATTCAAGGCTTTGGGAAATAGGACATGAACATTTTTTGGGGGCCATTATTTCTGCCTATCCACTACTGGTAATGAAAACTATACTTAGTGAAGTGGCTGGAAGACAAGAGAGGAGGAGAAAGAAGGGATCTAGAGGCCACATAATAAATGCTTGCTTGGTACATACCTAAACTACTTTTGTTGTAGCCTGCATATATTTCTGAACCCTAACCCAGGTTCCAGTTATATAGAGAAGGATTTATTCAATAATTTATATTTAAATATTTAAGTAGATAAGCTAGAATTCTGAATGCTTTTTATTTTGTCCATGAAGAGAAAAGTTTCCTTCAACTAATTAATTAAATCATTTGTAGTCAAGTTGACTCTGATTCATTGTGACCCCATGTGTTTCAAAATAGAGCTTCACTTCATAGGGTTTTCAGTGGCTATAATTTTTTGGAAATAGATCACCAGGCTTTTCTGGGTAAACTCGAACGTTTAGCCTTCTGGTAAACATTTTTACCACCCAGGGACTCCAACTAAATAATATAATATCATGAACTATAAAATCATGACTACCATTTATTTAAACACCTACAGTAGTATAAGTCATTAAGTGGTTTCTTTTTTTAGGGTTAAAGTCTGAACAGAAAGTCTCAGTACTATATTGAGTTAGACAGATTAATGTGGAGTGTCAGATCTTCATTTTGCTGTATGAAGATATTCAGAAAACACTCGTTAGTATTTCCTATTTAGTATTTTCTTCTCCATGTTATTATTCATATATACATGAATAATACCCATGAACATCTGTCCTATTTTCTGAAGGACAAAAACAAAACAACCCAATTGCTCTGTATAGGCAAGTGTTATATCTTATGTCAGTATCAAGTATATTAGATATTTAGTTTTCAATAAAGAAAATCTAGGCAAAACAATTTCCAATAGAGAACATGTAATTCTCTTTGCTTCATCTTGAATGTTGTAAGATGAACAGATACTAAACAGGAATTTCATACTATGAGAAAGACATTGCAGATTTTGAGCTTATTTACATAGGATTCTCTGATTCTGTGGTAAGCTAGTGAAATGGGAAATAAATGAAGTTATTGTCTTAGAATATTTCCTTCTTTCTGTGTTCTCTGTCTATGCATAAACCAAA